GGGGGGGGGGGGGGGGGAGAATTGGAGGTCCCACATCGATTGGAGAAGGGAACGAGTGTCAGCGAGGACGCTGGGTCTCGAAGGGGGGTGGATTATGAGATCTCACATCGGTTGGGGAGGAGAATGAAACATTATTTATATGGGTGTGGAAGCCTCTCCCTGGCAGACGTGTTTTAAAAACCTTGAGGGGAAGCCCGCAAAAAGGACTATATCTACTAGTGATGGGCTTGGATGACGTTGTTAGACTCTATTTAAGAAAAAGGCATGGAAGACAGGAAGACAGCAAGACAGAGTAGGCATACCTTGTAACTATACTTTCTTCTGATAGTGCCTTCTCTAGCCTCTCCTCAAATGGCGTCGCATGCCAACTCACTTTCTGATCCTGCAAACAGGACACCAGTCCGTAACAGACCATTCAAGTTCATACAAAAAGGAAAATCTCAAAAAACAGACATAAAATTACCTCCTTGTACTTATTGGTTGAATTTGGGATTCCATTCCCGTCCCATTCCTTGGGTGAGATTTGAACAGGTTCATCCTCGCTCCAGTGAGCAGCAACCATCCCTATAATTGGCCTGTCCCCTGCACTCCTTCCAGCACGAATCGGCCTATGTGCAGCTCCAAATTTCAGACCATCATCATCATGAGTAGCTACTGGTTTCAACCAAGCAGACAAGCTTGCTTCCACCACCAACTCCTTCTCATGAGTATTAGCTCTCACAGTCCTTTCTGGTATAGGTGTCATCATTTCAAGCTCTTGAACAGACACTTTCACTTCTCTTGAAAGTCCTTCCAGATTAGATTCACTCTCAACTGGGTTCATACCTGAATAAACATACTGAGACCTGATTCTTGCTGTTCCATGATCCAAGTTTGCTGGAAAAACAGTTCCAGGTGTTTGAATTTTGTCAGATAGCTGTCGTGGGGTTGGATTAGGTGATGACTTACCTGATGAATCAAGTTCTTCTCTTCCGCTTTCAGATGAACTTCGGGTGGGAGATTGGTTCACTTTATTCTGACATGTTGTCATCACATTATCAGGACTATTAAGAGCAGAGACTCTTTGAGTATTCTGTTCACTGGTAGTACAACTGCAGTATCAACAAGCTCCATAACAGTTATAAGATGACAATGCTGAAGAATTTGAATGTTCAAGTATAGGGTGTTTCACATATATACTACAACCTGCTAGGTGTACGTTCAGCAGACCCTGGCTCGCTTCTTCCCTCTTCCAAATGTTTGGCAGGTGTGCGGGGAGGATCCGGAGGTGTTTCAAGGGATGCATTTGGAAGTGATGGGTACTTAAGAGGCTCCAAATCTCTGTCATCATGAGGAGAACCCAAGAGCTTTCTTGATGCTTTCCGGATTTCAGCTGGGGTCTCCACTATAGTCCCACACGCCTTAAGGAATTTGGCCTGCAAATTAATGCCCATATCAACGGATTAATGTTTAAGTGTAGTAAAGATGTTTATTAACATGTGTAATCCTAGTTAGAGACAGATTAAGGCCCAAGAGGAATAAAAGAACTGTAACGACCCAAGCCCACGGCTGGCATATTGTCCTCTTCGGGCTTTACCAGCGCTTTCCCTTGCGGGGAGGTTTCTACACCCTCATAAAGAATGTTTCATTTTCCTCTCTAACCGATGTGGGATCTCTCAATCCACCCCCTTTCGGGGTCCAGTGTGGACGCTGGCACTCGCTCCCTTCTCCAATCGATACGGGATCCCCCAATCCACCCCTTCGAGCCTTGCTAACACACCACCTCATGTCCACCCTCCTTTGGAGCTCAACCTCCTCGCTAGCACATCGCTCAATGTCTAGCTTTGATGCCATTTGTAACGGTCCAAGCCCACCGTTAAAACGTGTCTGCTAGGGAGAGATTTCCAACCCTTGTAAAGAATGTTTTGTGCTACTTCCCAACCGACGTGGATCGCATAACAGTCTCAGCATTTACAAGAAAAGGAAGTAGAACTAAGGAATCTTCAACAGATTAGAGCTTTGGAACATTATGTTCCGTTTGCAACTTAGAACACAGACAAGCTCATTCTAGCTCATGCCTTTCATTTCCCTAACTAATTATATTCCAACCAGCAAACTGAAATCATGAACATACCAGCAATCATAAAAATCAGCACACACTATACTTGGAGCTGAACACTATTGGGAAGGTTGCATACCTCATCCTTCAACTCCTTGGTGTACCGTGGAGACCCAAAAGACTTGGAACCTGAATCATTCCTCGAGAAATCTTCATTTTCTTTAATAAAACAAAAAAACACAAAAGGAAGTAAGAATCTGCAGATTCAGATGCAAGGAACAAGCATGGAGGAGTCGAACATCTACCTTCAGACAGGAAAAGAGATGATAACTTATTTCGAGCTACCACAGGTGCCTGAAGCATGAAATAGAAAGTGAGTAAAAAACTGGCAAACACCAATCAAAGAGACATACAAAAGAAGAGTAGAATCTAGCACTTGGAGCATCTAATTTAACTCCAATCAAAGCCAAATCAGCTACCTAATTCAGGCAATCCAGCTGAGCTAAACAACAAAAGTCGCAAGAACAGCAGCAGAATGGAAGAGGACGACACCCATGATACTAAAAACAGGACAGATTCTTCCCAAGAAACAGGGGAACAAATTTTCCATTAGATTTCACTTTCCTAAATTACTCTTGAGCAAAACGGAGGAATTACGAAATATAAACAAGAAGGTGAAACGAGGATCGAAAACGTACCCTGTACTTCGAACAAGAAGGATCGGAAACAAGGTGCGCTCTATGTCGATGGCGATCGTCTCTGACTTTGAAGCAATCGAAGAAGCAGCCCATTGCTCTTGAAACCGATCGATCAAGAAACCCCACCAAAGACCTGCAAAGAAACCCCAATTTACACCTCAACTGCGCGCACATATCATCGGTGCTCGCCGCTGACCCCAAAACACCCAAGGCCCCAAACAAAAATGGGTTCTCCCCTTTTGGGTATTACTTTTCTTTCAAATTTTATTGTGGGGTTACAATAATTTTCATTTTCTTCGAGTTGGGATTTATGCAATCAGTGTAGAGGAGAGAGTTGTTGGGTCGTTTTTTGAAATTTGAATTCATAGAACGAGGGAAAGGTATTGGCGTCATTTCCCTTTCCTGCCATTTTGCTTCGCTAATTGATTGCTACTCGCTCCCATATCGCGACACGTGGAGATAAATAGCTTAATTTGGTAATGAAGTAAATTATATTACTTGATTTAGTCAATGTATTATTTTCGTACTAGCCATTACTTTGTACCAAAAAAAAAAAAACCATTTTTTTTTGAAAATTTGAAGTGCCTTTGTAGCGCCCAGTTGTAAATAGTCGGGCCTAGCCAAGCCACTTCACGTTTACGTATCCTTAGGTCAAGTCGTTGCCCACTCGTCATTGGGCCACATGACACAGCCCCTCACTCTTCCATATTAGCTTACTATCTAGCTTTTAGATCTAGATTTGGAATATGGATTTGACACTAGAGAATTAATGCATTCTCGAGCCATATAACCATGTTACCTACTTGACTTGAACTATATTTTGAATATGAAATTCTCAAAGACTCATTATGTTCTTTTAACGTATTTTGTCCTCACTCACATGTTTATTAGAAAAAAGTCTACGAGCACACTCAACATTGATTGCTCCAAGTCAAGCATACTTAGTGTCACAGTCCACAATACGATTGGGCCCACTTAAACTAGTTGTTGTCCTCAATGACTTTCTCAAGGGCCCACGTAACTTTAAAATTTATACGACTGAACCATAAAAAAGAAAAGTATAATTTATTAGTATAAATAATAACTAAATTACCATTTAAATGTGATGTTAGTTTATTTATGTATCATCCATTATTGGGTGTAACACTATGTCTGTCTCTGTCTCGTACTTGATATTGTTCGATTAAATTTAACCTTTTTTAAACTATATTCTTAATATTTTATCTTACATATTACATGTGAGCAATTAATGCAACAGAACATAGGTCTATATATATATATATATCTATATATATATATATCTTTATGATCTAACTAATTTGTTGGTTTCTTGAATTTAATATTTACAAAAAGACTGGTTGATATTGTCAAAGATTTTTATCATTAAAAAACTAATAATAAGCTTACCTTACTTAGTAAATAACTATTTTTATAATCATACTTATTTATCAAATTTTTTTAATTAAAAAAATTATATATGTATGTATGTATGTATATATTAAAGTTGGAAAAAATAAAATAATTAACACACTTATTTATTTATTATTTATTTTGTTTTTATTTTTAATATCTTAAATTAAAAATAAAATTGTTATCAAATATAACTTCAAATAAATAAATAACGAAAATAATAAAAGTGAGTGTGGGTCCCACACTATATCAGCCATGTGACTCTCACATGCATGAAGTTTTTGTTTTTGGTTTTTTAATGAATGAAAATATTGTTTATTAAAATTTCATTAAATATTTAATGTTGTCTATAATTATTTTCCCTAGCATTCTATTAATAATCAATAAACCATTATTAATAAAAGAAAATTTAATAAAAAACATGAAATTAAAAAGAAAAAAAAATACATATATCAATATAAATTATTATATTAATGCCATAATTTTTATAAGGAATAAAATTTCCATTGAAAAAGAAATTGTAACGACCCAAATCCACAGCTGATATTGTCTTTTTTGGTCTTTCTCTTTTGGGTTTCACTCGAGGCTTTAAAACGCGTCACTAATGGAAGGTTTTCACACTCTTATACCGAAAATATACCGAAAATAAAAGGAGATATGATGTTAATGTGTGTTAAACTTCCGTTTTAGATTCATCCCCACAAAAGAGGCCACACTAAGCGCATTATTAGGACCACAATCTTGGCGCCCAAGTAAAAGCTCTAGTTGTAGGACAAGGAAGATGAAATGGGGTCTTAACTCTGTCCACCAATCCTCCCATGTGTGATCTTTAAGGATGAGAGAGAGGGCATATTCCCTCCCACGCTCTGGCTTTCAAGGGGAGTGAGTGCTTTTTGAACCCCCAATTGAGAAGTTTTTGATTCCTTGTTCTTCCTTCAATCCAAAATGGCCAAGAAATTGATAGTCACCCATTTACTCTCCTCTTTCTCTCGCTGAATCCACCAAATAAGGGTGCGGGGAGGGGAGAAGAAGCAGGGCCGAGGGGGGTTTGTGGGTGGTTGTGAAGAAGATGTCTGGTGTCAATGCCAATGCTCTGCTCAGCCCCAAGCCGAGAATCAGAATCGGGTGCAAGCCAATTGGGTGTAAGAGATTGAGTCGTTTTTGTGGTGGGGTTTGGGGTTCCTCTGCTGTGGTAGCGAACCCTTCAAGATCGGCTGAAGAAAGGGTGTATGAAGTGGTGTTGAAGCAAGCGGCTCTTGTGAGGGAACCCAGAAAGGATCGAGAGAGAGGTTTGGATTGGGAGAAAACCATACAAAATGAAGGCAGTATCAGTGATGATGGGAATCTCTTGAATGAGGCTTATGCTCGATGTGGTGAGGTCTGTGCTGAATATGCCAAAACGTTTTACTTGGGTAAACCTTCCCTCCCTATGCTACTGTTTCATTTCTGGGTTGAATGATCTTGTTTTTGTCATCCTGTTAGTCTTCTTTGAGATTTAGGTAGAAAATGGAACTGATAATGACTGTCTTGGAATGTTTTCTACTAGAATATGAGATCCACGTTGGGGAATGAAGCATCTCTTTGTAAGAGGAAGAGGGTGGAACCTCTACCTAATAGACGTGTATTAAAATCATGAAGAGTAGACAATATCTGCTAGTGGTGGACTTGGATTGTTACAAATAGTATTATAGTCAGACACCGAGCAGTGTGCTATTGAGGACGTTGGGCCCTAAGGGGTTGTGAGTTCTTACATTGGTTGGAGAGGGGAACGAAGCATCCCTTTATAAGGGTGTGGAAACCTCTCACTGATAGATGTGTTCTAAAACCATGAGGCTGACGGCGATACGGGCCAAAGCGGACAATATTTGCTAGTGGTGGGCTTGAACTGTTACAAATGGTAACAGAGCCAGACACCGGGCGGCGTGCCATCGAGGACGCTGACCCCTAAGAGGGTGGATTGTGAGTTCCCACATTGGTTGGAGAGGAGAACAAAGCATCCATAAGGGTGTGGAAATCTCTCACTGATAGATGCGTTTTAAAACCATGAGGCTGACGGTGATACGGGCCAAAGCAGACAATATTTGCTAGCGGTGGGCTTGGACTGTTACAAAGGGTATTAGAGTTAGACACCGGGCGGTGTGCCAATGAAGACGCAAGGCCTCAAGGGGGTGGATTGTGAGATCCCACATTGATTAGAGAGGGGAACGAAGCATCCATTTATAAGGACGTGGAAACCTCTCACTGATAGATGCGTTTTAAAACCATGAGGTTGACGGTGATACGGGCCAAAGCAGACAATATCTGCTAGCGGTGAGCTTGGACTGTTACAAATGGTATCAGAGCCAGACACCGGATGGTGTGCCAACGAGGACGCTGGGCCTCAAGGGGGTGGATTGTGAGATCCCACATTGGTTAGAGATGGGAACGAAGCATCCCTTATAAGGGTGTGGAAACCTCTCCCTAGTAAACGCGTTTTAAAACCGTGAGGCTGATGGTAATATGAGCCAAAACAGACAATATTTGCTAGCGGTAGGCTTGGGCTGTTACAAATGGTATCAGAGTCAGACACCGAGTGGTGTGCCAGCGAGGATGCTGGGCCCGAATGGGGTGGATTGTGAGATCCCACATTGGTTGGAGAAGGGAACGAAACATCCTTTTATAAGTGCGTGAAAATTTCAGATGCATTTTAAAACCGTGAATCTGACTGTGATATAGGCTAAAGCGGATAATATCTGCTAGCGGTGGGCTTGGACTGTTACATGATACCTCTCTTCTGAGTTCGGTTCAAACCATTTGGCCTTTTCTCTTTTCCTCCTTCGTTGTTCACTTTCTTGCTATTCTCAGGGACACAGCTTATGACACCAGAGAGAAGAAGAGCTGTGTGGGCGATTTACGGTATCAGTCATTCTCTTCCTCCACCTTATTATCTTTCTATCTACTGCAAATTTTGTTCACTTCTGTAGACCAAGTTGCTTGTAGGACATGGCTGTGGACAGCCAAAGTATTGCTCCAAGTTCTAGCCATGTTCTCCTAGTAGTTTCTATTGATGACCCTCACATCATGAACGATCATGAACGTTTATGGACCTGTTACAAACTTTTTAAAGTTTAAGAATCGAATAGACACAAGTTAAAAGTTTCGAAACTTGTAAGACAACCTTTTTAAATAGAGGGTCTTAGGAGACCGATCCTGAAAGGGGAAAATCATTATCGAACGGGACCTAAGTTCTCGATCTGAAAATTTGAACCCGAGTTTGAAGGGTATCTCAAAACATCCTCAAGGATGATTCTTAATCACTACCTTTGCAGTCCTGTTACTTCAGTTTTGGACATTCAAGAGGGTAACTCTTTGTAATGCAGTGTGGTGCAGAAGGACCGACGAGCTCGTGGATGGACCTAATGCTTCACACATCACCCCTAAGGCTCTTGCTCGATGGGAAACACGACTAACTGATCTATTTGAAGGTCGACCGTATGATATGTATGATGCTGCTCTTTCCGATACAGTCTCAAAATACTTCGTCGACATTCAGGTAAACTTGATTTAGAGCCGGTTTGAAATGACTTTCTAAGTGCTTAAGAATTTATTGGTCTGCGCTTAAAATACGTTCATTTGTGATATGAGAAGTTTAGGCTGCCATGACAAAGGTCTTGTGAAACTTATGAAGAAATGAATGTTTTTGTCAGTACAAGAACAACAGAGAGCTTTTATCAGTAAAATTTGATCATCCTAGTTTAATGAGACGTGGCTCTTCATTGCTCTAATTTGAATTGGCAGTGCACGAGTTTGTTTAATGTAATCAAAAGCGTACGATTTAAAACGAGCGACAATGATTTAACTACTCTCGTCTTCGAGTAAAGGAGGTCTGGATCCTTTTTTTCATTTCTAGTTCCATTTGTGTGTTTTTTGATTCACTTGGCTTGAAACTATGCACGTTATGTTTCGACAGCCCTTCAAGGACATGATCGAAGGAATGAGGGTGGACTTGCGAAAATCACGATACGAAAACTTCGACGAGCTTTACCTTTATTGCTATTATGTAGCTGGAACTGTGGGGCTCATGAGTGTTCCTGTCATGGGATTGGCACCCGAGTCGAAAGCTTCAGTAGAGAGCGTCTACAATGCAGCATTGGCTCTCGGACTCGCCAATCAACTCACAAACATTCTTAGAGACGTCGGAGAAGAGTAAGCTTTCTTCCACCACCTTCTCATAACAGTGCAATGACTCAAGTCTACTGCTAACAGATGTTGTCTTCTAGGGAGAGGTTTTCACACCTTTGTAAAGAATGTTTTGTTTCCCTCTCCAACCGACGTGGAATCTTATATAAAGTTATATTACTTTTCGTGTTTACTTTTCCAACAGTGCTCGAAGGGGAAGAGTGTATCTCCCACAAGACGAGTTGGCACAAGCAGGGCTATGCGACGACGACATCTTCGAAGGGAAAGTGACAGAGAAGTGGCGGAGTTTCATGAAAGGGCAGATAAAAAGAGCAAGAAGGTTCTTTGATGAGGCTGAGAAGGGCATTGCAGAGCTGAGTGCAGCCAGTAGATGGCCAGTATGGGCATCCCTAATGCTTTACAAGCAAATATTAGATTCCATTGAAGCAAATGACTATGACAACTTCACCAAAAGGGCATATGTAAGCAAAGCCAAGAAATTGCTATCACTTCCCATAGCCTTTGGAAGAGCTATGATGAGCCCTTCAAACTCAAAGATTTGGTAACAAAATAGATTTTTTTTTTTTTTTTCCATTATGTACGTACGTATGTATATAGGCAAGGTGAGGGACGGGGAATATAATTTCCGTCTCTAGCCCGGTTTAGCTATGGAAAAATCTCTCCTTACTCCCGATTTAAGTGGGGACTCTTCACGAGGCAGGACTCTAGTCTCGAAAAGTAGTATTAACATTCTTTGTGTACCATATTCCCAAAAAATAGAAAATTCCATTGGATCCACTAGAAAAGTGCCCAATTTCTTTTTCCTAGAAACTAATAAGTTAGAATTATTTTACAGGCCAAGAACAGCATACAGAGAAGACATTCCTATAATATAAATATTCTTCCACAGGAAAATTCTATGCAACGTTCAACTGTATGTTCCCTACAAAAATATAGCACAACTCTCACTTTATTTTCTCCTACCTTTCTGATTTACTCCCACTTTTGGAGGAGAACAAGATGAGGAAGATGAAAAACCTGATCGGTTGTTCTCTGCTAAGTCCTTGCAGAATGCCTTCTGTACATCATCTTTAAGTTCCATGAAACGAGTCTTCTTCTTCTTCTGCTCTTCTGGAGTTCCCTTTTCGAGGAAGAGAAGATCGGGCATGTCGTCTGCTAAGAAGTTGTCGAGAACATCCGAGCAATGAGGGAAAAAGCGTCGACCTGTCTCCACTGCGTTCAAGATTTGATATGAGTTCATCATCATATACTCAATTTGATCAATGACTCTTTATTTCTTTTATAACAAACCGTGTCTATAACAGCCTAAGCCCAAACCCACCGTTAGCAGATATTGTCCTCTTTGGACTTTTCCTTTTGGGCTTCCCCTCAAGATTTTTAAAATGTGTCTACAGGACATTCCCCTCTCCAACTAATGTGCTAACGGTGAGCTTGGATTGTTACAAATGGTATTAGAGTCAGACACCGCCCAGACATCGGACGATGTGTCAACGAGGAGGCTGAGCCTCGAAGGAGGTGGACACGAGGCGGTATGCCAGCAAGAACGCTGGTCCCAAAGGGAGGTGGATTGGGGTGTCCCGCATTGATTGGAGAAGGAAATGAGTGTCAGCAGGGATGCTAGGTCCCGAAGGGGAGTGAATTGTGAGATCCCACATTAGTTGGGGAGGAGAACGAAACATTGTTTATAAGGGTATGGAAACCTCTCCCCTAGCAGACACGTTTTAAAAGCCTTGAGGGAAAACAAAAAAGGAAAAGCACAAAGAGAACCATATTTGCTAGCGGTGAGCTTAGGGCGTTGCATAGCCAAATAATGGATATTCGTACAAGGATATATAAAAAACAAGCTCAATGCAAGAAACGGGGCACAAGAATATTATGGATCAGCTCATATCTAGATTCAGAAAATACTATCAGCCAGACCAGAATCAAACATGTTTCATTTTACCTCTCAAGCAAAGATAATTAAGACAGTGTTCTAAAAGTAGTACCTGTTTTCATTAGAGCTTGCATTCTGGATTGGAGTCTTTTGGTTCCAACAGATGGTGTTTCATTCAAGTCAACCTTAAGCAAGTTGCCAGATGATCCCTTGGATGATACAAGGCCAGTATATGCTATTGTTGAATCTGCATCCGCAATCTCCATTGCGACCTTGGCCTCGGCAGGGAAAAAAAGACGAGCAAAGGCCACTGAAACAAAGGATACAATGTTTGAAACATCTTTACACGAGTCAACTAAACATACCACAATCAATCCTGAAACAAGAGAGAAAAGTGATCTTCTGCCTCCTTTTTCCCAATAAGTCGACGGCGTTGTCCGCCCTGTCCTAACCCATCCTCTCCTACAAAAGGATGTTTTGTTCCTCTCTCCAACCGATATGTGGGATCTCACAATCCACCCCCCTTGTGGGCCCTGGGTCCTCCCCCCTTGTGGGCCCTGGGTCCTCATTGGCACACCGCCCGGTGTCTGAATCTGATATCATTTGTAACAGCACAAGTCCACCGCTAGCATATATTGTCCTCTTTGGGCTTTCCCTCAAGGTTCTAAAACACGTCTACTAGGGAATAAAGAGGTTTCCACACCCTTACAAGAAATGCTTCGCTCCCCTCTCCAACCGACGTGGGATCTCACAATTCACCCCCCTTGAGTGCCCTGCGTCCTCGCTGGCACACCGCTCGGTGTCTGGATCTGATACCATTTATAACAGCCCAAACCCACTGCTAGTGTCCTCTTTGGGCTTTCCCTCAAGGTTTTAAAACGCGTCTACTAGGGAATAGAGAGGTTTCCACACCCTTACAAGGAATGCTTCGTTCCCCTCTCCAACCGATGTGGGATCTCACAATCCACCCCCCTTGAGGGCCCTGCGTCCTCGCTGGCACACCGCTCGGTGTCTAGATCTGATATCATTTGTAACAGCCGAAGCCCCCTGCTAGCAAATATTGTCCTCTTTGAGCTTTCTCTTCTGGGCTTCCCCTCAAGGTTTTAAAACGCGTTTACCAGGGAGAGGTTTCCACACCCTTTTAAGGAATACTACGTTCCCCTCTCCAACCAACGTAGGATCTCACAAAAAAAATATATATGTAAATATACAGAGAGAGCATATCACCTCGATTTTCTAGATAGTCTAGCATCACGTGCATGTCAGCAGCGGAAATCTGAGTTGTCATTTCCATTCTACCAGAGATAGAACTCCTACACATCTCTCTCTCCAACACATCAATACATAACCGATCTTTGTTAGATTCCTGACACTTGTGAGTCGTCTCATTATAATCCTTAGGTCTAGTCAGCCTTCGACATATGGTAACAGCAGTTTGTCCATCAGCTGTAGGTTCTAATGCAGAGGTTCCCTTGTCCAGAAGGGCCACAATGATTTTAGGATCCTTACGCCTTGCCGCAACATGAAGAATTGTATGTCCTCTAGGGTTCTTAAGATTGAGATCTGCCAAGCCTAGATTAAGAACCTCCTTAATGACCTTAGGATCACAATAGGCAGTGGCATAGTGAACGGCATAAGCATCATTCAAGGTAATGTCAGAAGATTCACTCAAAAGAAGTTTCAGTAGTTCAACATCATCAGAATCCAATGCTTTGTGGAGCCTCCTGATTTTCTTCTCACGGTTCAGGTCCACTTCTTCCACCATATTTGGTTCAGTCTCTTGCTGAGATTTCATACGCAATGCTTTAATCTCACTTGCAACTTCACTAGGAAGCTCTCTCTCTAGAGATACAGCATCGAGGTCTGACCTTGCCACTCTTTGAATGCAGGGGATGTGCAGCTGGTCCAGTTGACAATGGAATGCAGCAATCAGTATAGTTATAACATCTTCCACAGAAGCTTTCTCAACAAAATTCAAGAGTCGACGCTGCACAAGTTGGTGGATATTGAGTTAGATTATAAAATAAATCATACTAAGACAAGGAAATTTTGTTGAGAAACTTGTTAGGATCGCACAACAATGCACACTCATGAACACAAAGAACATCGGAAAGAAAATGCAAGGAGACTATTGGATGGAGAGAGAAAATGCAATATTGGTTAAAGGTTTATCTTGATGACTTCATGTGAGATCCCACGTCGGTTGGGGAGGAGAACGAAACACCCTAGCAGACGCGTTTTAAAAACGTTGAGGGGAAGCTTGAAAGGGAAAACCCAAAGAGGACAATATTTACTGATGGTGGGCTTGGGCCGTTACAAATGGTATCAGCGATAGACACTAGGCAATGTGCCAGCGAGAAGGCTGTTCCCCAAAAGGTGTAGACACGAGGCGGTGTGGCAGTAAGGAGCTGGGCTCTGAAGGGGGTGGATTTGGTGGGGTCCTACATCAAGGAGCTGGGCTTTGAAGGGGGTGGATTTGGTGGGGTCCTACATCGATTGAAGAAAGGAACGAGTGCCAGCGTCTCACTGAGTCTTGAAGGGGGGCCATAGCGGTTGGAGAGGAGAACGAAACACCCCTTACAAGGGTGTGGAAACCTCTCCATAAAGGAGTATATATACGGTTTCAGTTTACTATATATATAGGTTTAACAGCCATATATATCTCTACCAGCTTTTTCCATAAGAGTCGTTATTCCTAATACTTTCTACTAAAGAGACCGACATACAAAGTCATATGAGTAAGAAATAAACAGAGTCTAAGAAATGTCCTCATACCTGTACAAGCAAAACCAACTCTTTCATCTTGAAAGTGGCAGAAGCATACATCAATTCCACTGCATAATTGATAGCAGGGCCACATGCATCATGAGCACAGGCCTCATCCACACATGTTGACACTTCTGGTGGTGATGGCTTCAGCTTTCCCGTGTACAAGTAATTCAAGATAACTTTAAAAGCTTCAATTCCAACCTTGCTGAAAGGTACCAACTGAGACATACAATATTTTGGCTTGTCATCTTTGGTTGAGCTATCCATTTCCTGCTTAAAAAGCTCATGAAAAAACTGACTCCGAGCCGCCAATATACATCGATGAACACCCACATCAATGCCCTCAACAACAATCACAGCATCAGTATAGTCGTAGTCAGAATCAACCACAAGCTTCTCAAGGTTTGCACTTAGCTTGCTAAGACACATATGATCAGAATTTGCAGAAGGGTCATGGCTGAATACTGCAGGAACGTTGTTATAACTAGACCCATTTGACACATAAGACGATGAGGCGAAACTTGGGGACGAGGAAGGATCATTGGCACTGTCCATGACTTACAAGATGCGTTTCCACTAAGAAAGGAGCTCAAAAGTAACACAGATTCAGCAAAATTTCAAACGCTCAGATACTCAAATCAAGACAAAGAATCTACAAACCCCAAAACACGGATTTGGAACAAAATACAAATAGGGAAAATTATTACTGAAAAAGCTCCTTTCAGCAGTTCATCAATAGAACAACAAAAGGAACTTCAAACGCAAAACATAATCGAACAAAACCCATCATAAAAGCAAAACAAGTTCAAATCGAAGGGGGGGGTGAGGGTCAGGATTGCTTGCGAAGACACCCTTTAACCAAAGTCAATCACTAACACAAATGGACCAGATGCTAGAGATCATGATCTGAGGATTCAAGACTATTAAGAGGATATTTTGCGGTGATAATTAGTTAGAATATATCTCAGATATTTAGGGAGTTGTTAGTATAGATTTGATTAACCGTATATTTTATTTATTTACCAGATTTAGTTAGATATATATTTTTTCTATTTTTAGGTATTAGTTGATAGTTTGTATCCTATTTAAACGTGGTAAACATGAATGAAGATCATACTTTCGATCCCAATTCTATTTCTATTTCTCATTCTTAACATGGTATCAGAGCACCGATCTTGATATTCCTAATATCAAAGCACCGATCGTGATATTCTTAATACCCCTTGGACTCTGAGTCCAAGGGGAGTATTAAACCTAAAGCCAAACCCTAACCAATCAGTGAAGTCTTTACCGTCGTCAATCATCCAATATCAAGAATACGTTATAAGCATCTTCAAATTTCTCACCAAACTCTAAGCTGACATATTCAAGATGTTCGTATTTTCTTTCACAGCCTCTCAAGTGATCCAAAGCACCGATCTTGGTGTTATTATCCACTAAAGCATTTATGCATGGACCAACAAGTGATCAGGGAGGATATTCACTTGTTCCAAATCAAATTAAATGGGACAAGTTACCAATCCTCGAGTCAATCATTGCGGTCTATTTCTGAGTCTTGCATCTTTCTTGAAAATTCAATAATTTCTTGAAAGTCTAAAAATGCAAACCAATCGAAGGCGGTCTATTTCTGAGTCTTGCATCTTTCTTGAAAATTCAATAATTTCTTGAAAGTCTAAAAATGCAAACCAATCAAAGGCGGTCTATTTTTTGACAGATATTTTCATTACTGGGAAGACAAGAGTGAAAGACAACTTGGGTGTTATTGACCTACCGTAAAGACAAGTTAAAGACAAGTTGGAGGTGATTAACATACACTCTCCAACTTGAGGGGGAGTATTAAGAGGATATTTTGCGGTGATAATTAGTTAGAATATATCTCAGATATTTAGGGAGTTGTTAGTATAGATTTGATTAACCGTATATTTTATTTATTTACCAGATTTAGTTAGATATATATTTTTTCTATTTTTAGGTATTAGTTGATAGTTTGTATCCTATTTAAACGTGGTAAACATGAATGAAGATCATACTTTCGATCCCAATTCTATTTCTATTTCTCATTCTTAACAAAGACAAAGAGCAAGCAGAGGACGAACAGAGTTGACCCAGCAAAAATTCAGAGAAATAATTGGAAGAACAAGGGAGAAATCACAGAAATCGAACATAATTGCAAGAGAAAAACGACTAATCTACAGAAAATTCACGAATCAGCATATCTAGCCAAAAGGGTTTGAAGAACCGGGGGAGATTCGTATTGGCACAGATTGCTCAGAGATACAGAGATAAATGGGAGGAAGAAGAAGAAGAAGAAGAAGGAAAAGTATGCACCGTTGACCCAATAAAAGAAGCGAAGACCCGACCCACTAACTGTAATTACACTATGTGTTCATCAATTACTTCATAATCCCATAATTAAGTTAAGTATTTTACTTTGACGAATAATTAATTATTGTGTTTTTTAATTAGAAAGTTTATAATTATTTTTTTATAATTAATTAATTAATATTGTAATATATTTTTGTATTATTGAAATGTGATTGGTGAATGCGTGTTATCGATTCTTCAATCTCGACTGATGTTGATGTCAAAATGACAATATTGTCCCTATATCTATTTTCCTTTTTCTTTTTCTTTTAATTTTTTATTTTTTCTCTCTCTCTTACATCTTGGTATTTATTATTTAAATGAAAATAAAAAATAAATCGAATATTAAAATTAAAGTTGTTCTAGTGACGTGTTTATATATATATATATATATATATTAATTCGATTATTTTATTCAACTTTATTCAATTTTTTATAAACTATTAATAAGAAAATAAAAATTTTAGTTCTAATTTGATATCTAACATTTATGAAATTTTATTTGTTAAAGTGACTCGAGATAAGTATAAATTTTTAAAATAAGTAAATTTGGTGTAACGGCCTAAGACCAAGCTATCTCTAGATATTTTTAAAACGCGTATATTAGGGAGAGATTCCTACACAACATTATAATGAACAATGTTTCGTTCTCCTCTCCAACTGACTTTTCTTTTTGGTTTCCTCCCAAAGTTTTTAAAACACGTATGCTAGGGAGAGATTCCTACACCATTATAAACAATGTTTCGTTCTCCTCTCCAACTAATGTGAGATCTTACAATCCACCCCTTATGTGATCCAGCATCCTCATTGGCACTCGTTCCCTACTCCAATCCATGTGGGATCCCCAATTCACCTTCCTTCAGGGCCTAGTGTCCTTACTAGCACACCGCATCAACTTAGTCATGTACTTTGGGAGAAAAATTTCCTTCACTCTTTTGCAATAATATTCCACTTTATTTCACAAATATATATATATATATCCTAATTTAGGAGCGATATGCCCTAATTTTGAAAATCAGTTGAATTCATTAACTAACTTAAGGCCCCAACTCGCATCTTCACAATGCGTCACAAACGGCAATTCATTCCATCCATCTCTTCTCTGCATCTCATCGCAATCGCACACGGGCGGCACGTGCAGGCACGGCTCCATCGACACCGCCCGCCGGCATGGCCAGTCGCCTGTCTCATTCCTGGTTCTGTACTTCAGCCATTCATTCAATGGCGGAAACACCTTATCCTCTGCCTTGTAAAGCATCCATGGCTTCACTCCGGCAAGTCCCTGCGCTACATACCCAAACGTCGACCAATCGCTCGTCACCAACACGTCGCTCAAGCTCAGAAGGTACATCTCTGCCAGTGCCTTCCGGTTGTGCATTTTTTTGTTAGAGCTTTGAATCCCCTCGTGGCTCGGTTGGTACACCGCCACCACCTCGCCGTCGATGCCCCCATGCTCCCAGTACATTTCCTTTAGGGTTTCCGAGTATTCAGAGCTCAGAGACGTCACCAGCACAACTTTCACCGTCTGAGACGCTGTGGAATTCGACTTCTCCGGCGACGATTGCTCGACATCCGGCAGTAATTTCTTCTTCTGTGTGCAAGCTAGAAGTTGATTCATCTGGTCCTGAAACGAACCGGATTCCGACCCGAAATTCCGGATCTGAATCCCTAACATTTCTTTCGCTCTGGCGAGATACGGCTTGTAAGATCTCGAAATCAGCCCCCAGACGCCGTTCGTCGGGTGGAAGAGGTACCGGCCGAGATGGTGGAAAACAGTGTCCTTCGCCGGAAAGAGTTTATTGAGCTCTTCTCTGAAAAACGAACCAAGAAAAATTCCGGGAACCAGGTAGTTGTTCGTCTCCATAATCAGCCATGGGACCTTCTTCAGAAGATTCTGCTGCCGGTCGCAGTAAAACAGTTTGTCGTAATCGCTGGCGTCGTGAGATAGATGGAGATACAAATAACTCACAGGCGAATCTTCGATTGTTTTCTCCAACATTCCATTTCTCAAAATGTTGCCAAAAGACCCTGGAAAGGACTGGCGGAACGAGCCAAATTCCCGGCGGAGAGGGAAATCCGACGGCAGAATCCACGAGGATCCGAGAAAGGGTTCACAGAAGAGATCATCAAGAGCGTTGCCTCTGTCGATTAGAAAGACGCGATCGGACATTAGAGCGTAGAAGAAGGCGGAGATAATAGCGAGGATACGGTTGCCTAGGCCATCGCGGGTTAAAACCACAGCGTATTTGCAGTCTTCCGGCAGGGATGTGGAGTTTGTGGGTGAAGTTAGACCGACAAGAGCTCGGCGGAAGGATGGCGAATTGGGGCCGCAGCGGCGGTGGAGGGATTCATAGCGGCGGAGCTTAGAGAGGAGAGGAGAAGAGGGTATGTAGGGAGAAGGTTTTCTGTAGAGATTCAGTTGGTATCGGCTTAAACAGGATTTTTGGTCGAAGCCTGGAGGAAGAAGGCCATTGATGAATTCATCGTCGTTTCTGTGTGAATCATTTGTGGAGCCTACTGAAAGAGAAAGAAATTAACAGAAATTTTCTCAGGAAACAAACAGAAATTTTCTCAGGAAACAAACAGAAAGAAAGAAATGGAGAATACCATGTTGAGAAACAGTTCTCCAGAGCCGATTGAAGTTCAAAGATGGCAACCAAAATTGCTGCAATATCACGACCGCCATGACTGGAACTGCAATCAACAAAACCAACTTCGTCTTCTTCGTTGTCGTCTTCATCATCTTCGTCATCGCTACCTCCATGGCTCTGCAGAATCCTCAACCAGAACCAATTCCTTCACAAGAACTTCAAAACTTCCACTCAAAACCAGAAACTCAGTCAAATTTAAAGCAATTTGTCAAGAACCCATGTGAAAGGAACCTTGAGTGTTGTAGCCTTCGTGCTTCCCAAAAGGTTTTGTAGATTTATTCGTCGTGGTCGTCGTCTTCTCCATGAAAGCCGACTGGGTTTTTTTTAATCAACCATACATGGGATCATGACGTTGAGTAAGTTCCAATCAAATTCTTGTTTTTTTCTTTGTTTGACCTTTCTTGGGATTGATTATCCACTTGAAACTATCGTGAATTCATCTTGGTTGAAACTTTAGAATTGAGTAATTTATTTGACCAAGTGTAAAGTCAGCTTAAATTTTTAAGTTCGATTTTAATTCTAATAAATTCCGTTCATCAAAATATTAATCATAAACTAATTGGACTGAAGAATGATGATTTAACACGACATAGCAATAAGAGAAAGAAGTCTCGATATCGTATTCTAACGTAAAATTTCATATTACATATCAAAATTGGAGCTCAATTATAACTTGAAGCAAGTATATCCTCTCATTGATAATGATATCATACTCTAATGAGCTGAAACCGAGAACGATATTCCTGAAAGAACCTGATTGTATCGAGTACTCGGGAAGGTGAGAATCAAGCCTGGTGTGTATTATACTTACATCTGTAGCTGAAAGCAAACTATAATGGATGGATTTGGAAGATGCTTGTTTCATCTCCAGAAGCAGCTGAGTTCCATTCTCTGAACCGTGTCTAGACATCTGTTTGAAGGGTAAAAGGCAAAGATTACTAACAGATGATTAACAACTAGATGCATACTAATTCTAGCAATTAGAGTAATTTTTGGCTTAATGGCTTTACCTCGAGTAATAACCGAGCGTCAAAGTTTCGACTATCATTGGACGTTAGACTGCAGAGAAGCGACATCTACTGAGCTCATTCACCTGACGATTACCTAGTTGCCACGTGGCCGCTTTAGAGAGGTACCCCGCGTGCCATATGGTCCATACACACTTGATCCATACCCATTTAAACTGAGGTCTCCTGATGGAGGGTTCTGCTGTTTAGCTGCCTTTTGCTCCTTGGGGGACTTGCTTTGTTTATGTGTATTGCACTCTGGAGCGCGCTGCTGCCGGGTTGCATCTTGCTTTTGAGGGCGTTTGCGTCGCTTGAATCGCTTCGGCTCTCTACGTGACTGCAGAGTTGAGAATGCATAGACTGAATTAGATGAAGCCTTAACTTTAGGCCTTGATGGGTCACTTGGGTTTGCTGTTCTAAGATCAGGCGGTGGTAAAAGATTCCGACTTACCAGATCGTTCAAAATAGATTTTCGATTCGCTTCATGAACAGTAAAATTCTTATAATTTGAAAGCGGTCTATGAAACGAACTTACCATCTTATGTGTTCCTGTAGACCTCCCAGGTAAAAAACGGCTGATATCAGTCGGATTTACCATCGACGTCGACGTTGCTGCAGATTCTAATGAAATGCCAGATAAGCCATCATAAGATAGAATGGAAGCTAAGGCCTGCATAGAGGCACCAAGAACAGGAGGAAGAGCTTCATTTGGATGCTTTACCTGAGACACAATAAAAGGTCCGTCATTACAATCATGCAGAACACGAGTAAAATGAAGCAACTCCTGAAGCCAAGAACACGAGCCTATAACCACTTACTTTGAATAAGATTGCTGAAGATAATCGATCTCTCAAGCAGTATAACTGGGCAATATCGAGCGCCTTCGACAAAAAATGCAGCCAACCGTCGACAACCACAGTTACCGAGTTATCAGGGGAGGACATAACCATCTCTTCTGGTTGTTGATTTGATTTATTTTCGACATCCACGCCGATTTCGTCGATGCCATCATGGTCATTTTCAATACCACCTTTACCATTATCTTTCTCCTTAGCAGGGCCAACAGCAATCTCCTTGGCAACAATTAATAATGGGACAGGCCCAACAACAGTACATTTTCTTATGTCTGTACCACGATCCCCACGGGTTATCTTGTCAAAAACAATAAGAGGGTGACGATCGGTTAGCTTAAGTGACGGTTCAAAGTTGAGGGACTGTCGATGCAAAAGAACTTTGCCCCTTGAACGAGTTACTACAACAGCCCGTCTTCCCTTCATAAGGGGCGGACGTAATCTTCCCACCATTGGATATAAACCAGCCACAAGGACGGCGTGGAGCACACCAGGGTCACGAGCATTTAAGCTACAAGTTGAACTATCCTTAGGCATAAAACCATTCTGAACTAGTTCCATTTTGAGTTGCTTCCGCATGCAAGATAGCTTCGACATAGTGCTCCGAGAAATGTAGTATTTAGAACAGAAGAGGGACTCTTGACCCCTTTCTTCTGCATTTTTCCAGCAATCAAATGCAGCTACAACAGCTAGTTGATCACTATGGCCACCATACAAAGAAGCAAGCTCTGCTTTAGCAGCATCAGCTATCCTTCTAGCGCTTGGTAACGTCGGATGAGTGAAAGGGTCCTTGCAGTCCGAAACACAAGCCAGAGTTAGAGCAGGATCGAGGCAATTCATCAATATCGCAAAGATAAGCATCTTGCTCGTTACTGGATGAACAGGCAATGAACCTAGTTTCTCCCCAAGCTCAGTCAGTCTCTCATCTTGTGACAAAGCCCCAATATCCTGAAGGACCAAGATTGCATTACCGATAGTATCTAAAACTGGAGGGTCCAAAGTCTTCCGCAAAAATCTCTCTATCCCACGATTGGGAGCAAGCAATTTCGCCTGTGAAATAAATCGATTATTAAAACAATTAAACAAGGAAATCCTACAATTAGGAATACCTTTTCAATACTAAATGCATCAGAATAACACACCAATATATAGTTCAGCATACATAAGTTAAAATGGCACCTGAAAACAGAGTTCCTCTAATGGCATTCTCTTGATTTCAGGAACTTGAAAATCTGGAAGAGACGACGCACGGGACTTTGAATAAAGGTGATAGCATATCCCAGGCTGACAGCGACCAGCACGACCCTCACGCTGCTTGGCACAAGCCTTTGATATCAAAGATAATTGAAAAGTAGAAACATTATTGTAAGGATCATAACTTTTTTCTTCATTCCATCCACTGTCTATAACATAAACTACATCATCAATGGTAATGGCCGTTTCTGCAATATTACTAGACAGAATAATTTTGCGGCAACCAGGAGGAGGTTGGCTGAAAACCTTCTTTTGCATTTTATAAGGAAGCGTTGAATGAACAGGTATTATCAAAAAATTTGATGCATCTTTGAAAAGAGGATTGTCTGATAATCTATCTAGAGTTTTGCAGATTTCATTCCACCCAGGAAGACAAACAAGAATAGCTCCTTCTTTTGAATCACGGCATATTTTTTCTAACAGCTGCTCTAAAAGAGTAATATCAACAGAATTAGAATTTTTCTCGAGATATGTATCAATCAACCGTTGTTCTTCCTTGGAGTTGGATATGGAACTTTCCAAATGTTCTCTGATTGCTTTAGCAGTTTCTTTCTGATCTCCTCGTTCAGCCAATTCCAACGCCGTTGTGCCATCCTTGGCACGCAATTCACATATGGCCCCAAAAGATAGCAGCATGCAAACATCAGAAACTCTACCCTTTCCAGCAAGAACCATTAGAGGTGTTAGTCCAGTCACAGAATGCTGATAATTGAAAATTTGAGAGGATCCAGGTTTAGCAACCAATTCTAGAAGGGGATCAAATTCGTCATTCAACCAAGCCGTGTGAATTGCTTCGTCCAAAGCAAGCTTGTCTTCTTCAGTTAGCTCACGTACCTCATCAGAAACACCCATTATCTTATCATCAAGGTGGTTCTCTTTCTGAGATTTTACAATAGAAAGTACATCCTCCAGATAGAAATTTTTTACCTGAATATTTAAGAGTTAGAATATGGCCCTAAGATACATACCAATTCAAAACTACAAGATTGAAGTGGAAGGTTTACAGGAAAGGTGATTCCGGGAACATCGATGATTGGACAGACACCAAAGTATCTTGAAAACCGTTTAGCACTGATTGTAGCGCTCATTAGTATCTGTCAAGATATAAAACAAAAGCATGCATCTCAGTCACAATCAAATGACGAGACACCATAAATCTTCAATTGTTTTGTTTTCTACAATTACAATAAAGTATGAATAATTTGAATAGCAGTGTAAACAGTTGAAGAACACAAAAATATCTCACGTAAAAGCCAAAAAGAATAGAACTAACCAGCCGTAAGTGAGGATATGATGGAAGCAAGCTTCTGCAAACAAGTAACAAAAGTGAAGAAAAAGACCCAGAATTTATATTAAATAAGGAAGCTCAAAATCGAGTATGAAGGTGAAAGAAACATGAACTTTGAAATGATATGGTTGTACCATAACGATCAAACTATAAGGCTTGATCAGTGGGGTCCCCCAGGGAAGTACCCAATTTTAGTTTCTAAACATAAAACGAGCAACGTTTACAAATGGAACCCACACGCTTTCTTGATCCTATTTACTATAGTAATAATAAAAAGCTTCCTTTCACCAATTCCCATATCTAATTAGTAGAGATCGAGATGGGTTCCATCCTCCAAGATGGCGGTATGTGCAAGTTGCCCCATGTTGCTGCATTCTGTTAGGCTAGGAACCATTGGAACAAATGTAGTTGAAAGAGACAATATACAACTAACATGTCCTATTGTGATAAGATGTGAGGTGCAGGTGGTGGTGATGACCTAGAGTATGCGTGGGAGCTCTTAAAAAGCACTTCAGGACCCGCACTTCATCTAACTACAGGTGTGGATAATGAGGCCACCTACACAACCTTCTTTTTTGTCCATTTGTTGTGGTAAGATAGCGCAGCTACTAAATCTCAATGGAGATCATCCCAGTCTTGAGATACATAAGACTCCTAGGAGCAAATTTAGCTAAGCTTGCTCAAGAAAGATCACACACATCGCTTTGAATGGTTATTTGTACAGGGTCTTTGTTACAATTGGTATCATACATGGTTGAAGCTTTTAACCAACCCCGGTCTTCAATTTTTTATATTGGTGGAATTCCACCTTTCAACAACCCTCAACAAATAAGTTGGTCTTCCTTGAAGCCCTGCCCACGCTTCTCAAATTTGAGATATCCCTCATATTTCGGGTTCTTGACTTCCTAGACCCGTAATAGAAGGCTAGGAATAAGAAGAGAGTTAGTAGTCTTTGTTGGTGCAGGTCCTTCTCCATTGACTGAGATGACTTTTTTTGTTACTGTGGTAGAATCAAGCTCCAACCTTGAAAAGATAGCCTGAGGATCGACCTTGCTACAACCAAGTTCACTGCTGCCAAGCAAGGGATGGCAATAACTAAAACTTCATGTTGTGGTGTTTAATGTAGTGGAAACAAACAAGATCCCCCTTTTTTACTTGTTGCCAAAGATGAACTCATAGTGATACCCACACTGGCTTGCCATTTGTCTCAACCAAGGCTAAAAGAAATGTCTGTACTTCCTAGCTAATTATAGAAGTAGCAAATTTTGTGGATGACAGACCAATATTACTTATCCGATAGTATGGATAATTTGGTAGGAGAAAAATAAAATAAAATACCATCCAAATATTGAAAATATTATTCACTTTTTTTCAATTCCTCTTGGCTTCACTTTTTTTTGTTTTTTTTGTTTTTTTTTTTTTTTTTG